CGAAAGGACGATTCAAAGGGACTGTTTTCGGGGACAGGGAAGGTCAAATGGATTTGATCATGTGGTACGATCAGATCTGACACCGAAACAATTTCGCTCGCTTGATACTTTGCATTCGTTTGTTCGGAAACAGGCGGCGCAATTTCCCGACTCGATTAAGAAGAACGATTTCTCGTTTCGGTGACTTCGACCGTCCCTTCGATCGCGGGAGTTTGTTTCCACGATAGCCGGGCAGGAAATAGGGTAAATACGGGCGGTAACGGGATTGTATTGATTCCTTGGACAACAATTTTCGGCACGATCGTAAAAAATTCTCCCGGGAAATAGGAGAAAATGGAGCGTGTATGGTCTCTGCCCGCATCGCGGCAACTGCAAGGTGGATATCGTCGCATCAAAATCGACAAATCAAATATACACGTAGAAAACTGTGGTGACTCAGGATGTAGCAAAACGCTTTCATTACTGTAACAAAATTTCATTACAGTAGAAAAAAAGGGAATAAAAACTCGTGGAAAAAAGGGATCGGTAACTCGCTTCAACGGCATTACAAATGCAAATAATGAAATACAATTCCGCGCGTCCAAATTCCTGGAAATTCTATTGAAAGCGTTGTTTCTTCAAAGAAACTGTAAAGAAACGAGAATTCTAAAGAAACAAGTAAAAGAAAATGAATTCTTTCCTGAACGAGATATCATATTAATTAAAAGATCAAAGTTCTTTGCTCCTTGGTGCAACTAATTGATTTCCGGTTGCTGTTTGAAACGGAAATAGAAAGTCCGAGAAATTCGTTTGTATTATGGACGAAATCTTCATACTGCGAGATAAATCGTAAATCACAGTGAAGAGTGGCAATGCGACCGGTTGCAAATGTGATCCTTAAAAATCAGAATACGCGGAAGAAGAACCCGTTCCGTCAGAAGTAACGTTTTCTTCTTACGTGGAAGCATCTCGTTATGCCAGTCTCGAGCGACCTTCCCGCAATATTTCAGCAGCGATCGACGGACAAAAGGGTCGTGAATTGTTCGTAGAATTGGACGAAGGCACAATAGAGTTAGAAGTCGTTTTGGAAGTCGATCGATGGAAAAATCTGAGCAACCGTGTTCTGTTCGATCGCTCTCGAGAGTAAGAAAATTCCGGTTTCTTGGTGCACTGCGATTTCACGATCACTCTTGTCTTTCGTAAATCTATAAAAGAATTAAATAGCTTTGTAGAGAGTGATATTTGTTGTAAAAGAATATTTCTGATATCGTGGTAAAGGGATATGTATCGGTAGAAATAGATTTAATTACTCTAATTTGCTTTAATTAATTTTAGATCGAACAACTCTCTTTTCTTTCTTTACCAAAATCATTCTCTGTCTGTTCTGAATATATGTATATCTAGAAAATTAGACAAAGGAAGAGAGAATGGTCACAGTTCGTATTAGTCAAGAAATGTACTCGTCCCTTATTCTCCATATTCTCTGAAATGTACAAGTCACGTCGAAGTAGATCAACATTATGCCCTTGATAATATCTGTATTAGCATGTTTTATTCGGAATCTCTTATCTTAGAAATAGTTTAAACTATAAATGTTCCCATCTCTATCCTAACTTTTGACGTGTGAAAAAAATAATTTACTGTAACAAAAAAAAAAGAAAAGAAACTGACTAATTAAAATTTTTTTATTACGCATCACGTTCCAATCAGAAGTAAACACACAATGAAAAAAGTCATTCAACGTGAAAAATAAAGGGTTCCGTTGTATAATCGGCAATAGAATTACCTCCGAAATAAAAAATTTTTACATTGCGAAAACAACATTGTTCATTTTCTTCTTTGACAGCTACATCTTTCTTATAAGTATGAAAACATTTTTGAGTTTTCGGACGAGTATTCAAAAAACGAGAGTCGGACAATTTTCTATCGAAAGTGTAACAAATTTAGATATCTCGCAAGTTTGATCTTCGAGGGCTGATCAATTTTCCAATAAGAATAATCACGCGATTACGAAGATCGATGTATTTGATACATAGGTAATCCCGTCAAATAGAAATTGTTGCAGAGACAATACATAAAAAGATTCAATTGCACGATACTGACGCGAATATTTTATATTCCGATCGTTACAGCGAACAAGAATTGTAACAATTGTAACAGTTCTATCGAAAATTTTACTTATCTTCCTTAGATTAGGGAACTGCATTTCCGAAATTTTATCGACAGCAAAAAACATGTCAGTGGGAGTAAAACACGCTAACGAAATCTTTCTATCTTCCAGTTTTTGGTTCTACGTATTTTCTCGTACTTTTTTCATAATTCAATGCTCTATCAATCACTTTCAATTATTATGGAACTCACCACCGAATATTGGATGAATGATTTTTTAAACAATGCCATTAGATTTGACGGCAGAATTTCTATCATGGCGGAATAATAAAATTTTTTCTTTTTTTCTTCTTTTGAAAATCGACACCGTAGAACGGTGGAGCACTTAATGTCGCGTTAAAACAAAAGCTTCATTTCACTGTACATAAGAGGTTCCGGTTTCAAAGAGATCTAAAAACCGGCTTTAAATAAAACTTCACGAATGAAATAATTTCTCCTATCAAGTCCTGAATCAAAACGGCATTATTGCTAAATAATTGATTCTCGAATCAATTAACGAACATGTTTCTTT